AAGAGATGGAGTAGCTATAACCAAGTCATTGGTGTAAAAATAGACAGGGATATTCCCCAGAACCAATTCAGTGCTTTGCTGGTGGCTTGCTTTAGTTCTCCAGCTACCTCTGTGCTGACACAATGGCATAAAAAGAGTACAGCAGCTACCAAGATCTTACTGTAGATATTAATATACCTACTTCAGCCATGTAACTCTATGTATTTACTTCTGGCCAGTATGTTCTTAAACCTAGACTAGCCACACCATATTGAAAAAAATCTAGGTCATCACCCTTTGTTTTGTACTGCAACATGAAATCCAATCCCAGCCCTAAGATTCACTCAACAACCCATGCTGGAACCAGCCTTAAATTTAACAAGAATTTCATAGCACAGCAACTCTTTCTCCACCACTTCAGGGAATCTGGCATGCTAGATGTTAACCCTAGCCTCAGGATCACTGTAAATTCACTGGATCCTGCCAGTCTTAGTCCTACATTAAGCTCAATGGCTGTGCCATTGAGCACTGATTAAGCCAAACCCTAATCCAAACCATAATTTTGAATATATTTTTAGCCCACCAATCTCTGTAAGGCTCAGAATATCTCGATGACCTTCAGTGGCTGCAGCCCTAATCTCTAATAATGGTACCTCTCAAATACAGCAGTCCCTGTCAGGTTAATCTCTTAGAGTAGCACTAATCTTGGTTTCACTCCCATTTGAAGTCAGTAACTCCTGCCTACTCCTACTGCTCTGGCTCTAAACTTACAGAATCATAGAATGGTTTGGGTTGGAAGGGACCTTTAAAGATCATCTTGTCCAATCCCCCTGCAATGGGCAGAGACATCTTCAACTAGATCAGATTGCACAGAGCCCCATCCCACCTGACCTTGAATGTTTCCAGGGATGGGGCACCTGCCACCTCTCTGGGCAACCTGTTCCAGTGTTTCACCACCCTCATTGTAAAAAATTTCTTCCTTATATCTAGTCAGAATCTACTTTCTTTTGGTTTAAAATCATTACCCTTGTCCTATTGCAACAGACTCTACTAAGAAGTCTGTCCCATCTTTCTTATAAGCCCCCTTTAATTAGTGAAAGGTCACAAAAAGGTCTCCCCGGAGCCTTCTCTTCTCCAGGCTGAACAATCCCAACTCTCTCAGCCTGTCTTCGTAAGAGAGCTGCTCCAGCCCTCTGATCATTTTTGTGGCCTTCCTCTAGACCCGCTCCAACAGGTCCATGTCTTTCCAGTGCTCAGGACCCCAGACCTGAAGGCAGTACTGCAGGGGGGGGTCTCACCAGAGCAGAGCAGACAGGCAGAATCACCTCCCTCGATCTACTGGTCACGCTGCTTTTGATGCAGCTTAGGATGCGGTTGGCAATCTGGACTGTGAGTGCACATTGCCGGGTCATGTCCAGCTCTTCATCCACCAGTACCCCCAAGTCCTCTGCAGGGCTGCTCTCAATCCCTTCATCCCCCAGCCTATACTGATATCAAGGGTGCCCCAACCCAGGTGCAGGACCTTGCACTTGGCCTTGTTGAACCTCATGAGGTTCACATGGGCCCACTTCTTGAGCTTGTCCAGGTCCCTCTGGATGGCATCCCATCCCTCTGGTGTGTCAACGGCACCACTCAGCCTAGTGTTGTCTGCAAACTTTCTGAGGGTGCACTCAATCCCACTGTCTATGTCATTGATGAAGATATTAAACAGTACTGGTCCCAGTACAGACCGCTGAGGGACACCACTCATCACTGATCTCCATCTGGACATTGAGCCATTGACCACCACCCTCTGGATGCGATCATCCAACCAATTCCTAATCCATCGAACAGTCCATCCATCAAATCCCTATCTCTCCAATTTAGAGAGAAGGATGTTGTGGGGGACTATGTCAAAGGCCTTACAGAAGTCCAGGTAGTCCCTGTTTTGTGGTCCATCCACTCAAGAGGCATGGGTAGAGAGGCTGCCGTGAAGACCGAGGCAAAAAACTTGTTGAGTACCTTAGCCTTCTCCTTGTCCATTGTTACCAGTTTGCCAGTCATGTTCAGTGGAGGTATACACTTTCTTTGAACTTTCTTTTCTGACATATCTGTAGAAGCCATTCTTAGTATTCTTTGCGTCCCTTGCCAAGTTCAGCTCCAGTTGGGCCTCAGCCTTCCTGATCCCATCCCTACACAACCGGGCAGTGTCCCGGTAATCTTCCCAGGATATCAGTCCTTCCTTCCACTGCCTGTGCATTTCCTTCGTGCCCTCTAGTTTGACCAGCGGGTCTCGACTCATCCATGCCAGTCTCTTGCCGTTCTTCCCTGATTTCTTACACCTGGGAAGCGAGAGCTCTCATGTTTCTGGTAAGCGTCCTTAAAGATCCGCCAGCTCTGTTCTGCCCCCTTGTCCATGAGGGTAGTTTCCCAAGGGGTACCATTGACTAACTCCTAGAACAGCTAGAAGTTTTCTTTCCTGAAGTTCAGGGTCCTGATTTTACTGTTTGCCTGACCCATACCCTCAGAACTGTGAACTCCATCAGTGCATGATCACTGCAGCCTCGGCTGCCTCCAATCTTGACATCACTGATTAGCTCACTTGCGTTGGTGACCATCAGGTCCATTATCACATCCCCTTTGGTACGGCTGCTGATTACCCAGCTTAAGAAGTTTTCCTCCACACACTCCTGGAGTCTCCTGGACTGCCTACAGCTCGCTGTGCTACTTTCCCAGCAGATACTGGGGTGGCTGAAATCGCCCAGCAGGACAAGAGCCTGCAAACATGATGCCTCCGGTACCTGAAGTAAGAAGGCTTTGCCAATAGGCTCCCCTTGATCAGGTGGCCTGTAGTAGACACCAGCCACAAGGTTCCCTTTGTTGTCTCTAATTATTACCAATAAGCTTTCAACCTGCTCATGGCTATTCTCCAGAGACAGCTCTTCACAATCGATCCATTTCTTCACGTAGAGGGCAACCCTTCCACCCCTCCTTCCTTGTCTGTCCCCTGTAAACAGCCTGTAGCCATCAATAGCTACAATCCAGTCATGGGATTCATCCCATCAAGTTTCAGTAATGGAAACTAGGCCATAGCTTTCTAGCAGCATGGTAGCTTCCAGCTCCTCCTGTTTGCTGCCCATGCTGCGTGCACTGCACTGCTGTAGAGGCACTTTAGCTGGGCTGTTAACTGTTATCTTTCAAGAGGAACACGCCTTAATTCCTTTGAGGTATTTCACTGGTGTTTCCCTGTTGGCTCCTATTACTTCAGGAGCCTCTGGTTCACCTTCGTAAGGCTTCAAGTATGCTTCAGTGTACCCAGCACGTCTCAGAGCAACCGGCTGAGTACCCTCACTAGCACCCTGTCCCTCTAACCTTGGTGTGTCATTCCACAGCCTGTCACAGGCAAGTCTGATGCTATTCCACTCCCCCTTCAAGTCTTGTTTAAAGCTCTCTCTGTGAGCCCCGCTAGCTTGTGAGCAAAGACTCTCTTTCCCCTTTCAGAAAGGTGAATCCCATCCATTACCAGCAAGCCTGGTGCCACGTAGATCATCCCTTTATCAAAAAACCCCAAGCTGTGGCAGCGACACCAGCCACAAAGCCATGTATTAATAGACTAGGTCTGTCCGTTTCTTCCAATGTTGCTGCCCACAACCGGAAAATAGAGGAAATCACCTGAGCACCAGATTCCCTTGCCAACTGTCCCAAGTCTCTTTTGATTGCCCTTGGACTACGTGTTGCAGCTTCATTGCCACCCACATGGAAGAGCAATAATGGATAGTAGTCCAAGGGCTGGGGACTCCTTCCAGACTTAAACATGCCAGAGCCCACACTGGCCCACTGGTGTCCGATAGTCCTAATTCTAACTCAAATCAAGGCTTATCTTGTGGCACCTCTTTGTAGCTGCCCCGACCAAGCAGCGTCTTCTGAAACTTCTTCTCAACTTACTTCCTAAGACTGTACAAGATCCAACTCCTGCCTTAGCCAAAATGTTCACCTACCAACACCTCAGAAACTGTCTAGCTATCACCTACAGTAATATTACCCTAGTCCCAGCCCTAATACCAGGAGTTAAGGATACGCAGTTAAGGCTTGGTAAGGCCTAAGATCTCAATTTAATCCTAGATCCTCTAGTTTTTATTTTATGGATCCTTCAAAATTTAGCCTCCATGCCAGTTTAGAACCAAATTTTATCCCTAGCTGTAAGCCATACCCTAACTATCAGCAAGTCCAGCTTATGCCCCATCTTACATTTAGATAGGCAATAACTTGTGCTTCACATCTTCATTTCAAATTTAAAGGTAGCTCCAGCCCAAGAAAAAGCTGGACATCATTATCTGTTGCATTTTGCCAATGTAGAGCAACTGTGCTGGGTAAGGAGCGCTCATTGGTACTCCGGCATCAGACAGTGAAGCCCATGGAATTACTAGCAGTAATTAAGGAAATATAGTGCAACAGATGTTCTGAACTTCTCTGTTCAGTCATGACGATGTCAGAAAAATTCTCTCCTACCTGATACTGAATCTCTTCTGGATTTTGCTACATAGCTTTTAAGCAGTTTCCTCATAGATGGGTCAGAAGCTTCTTCTAATGCACATCTTCCCATCTCATTTTTTAATAAGGGATCAGCTCCATACCAAAGCAATAACTCTGCCACCTAGAAAAATAAGTTTTTCAGACTGTTTATTTTCTGACAGTATTTTCCATAGTCCTCTCTCACATAGGCTTCTCTCTCTCGTACTCAACAACATGAGCAACTAAAACCAAATCTAAGGCCTTACCAACATGATGATTTCTGTACAAATATAAAGCCCTATTCTGTTGTTATTCAAGAAATTATCACTTTAGCAAGGTGTTCCATCTACCTTTGCAGAATACTTTTTAAGACACGTGAAATTTACAATCGGATGATTTCCTTTCTGTGGAAGACCATCTGAGTGGGTTTCATTTGACCAGATGTATGTCCTACATCTGAAATAGCTGTCAAAGCTTCCTTTGCAGTCACAGGAGCCACAACAGACACACCTAGAACACAATTTATTTTCTCCTATAGTAGATACCGTAAATAGATAAGCTGACTTATACCATTATTTTCCACCAATTAAGAGCTATGGGGGTATGAATCCTACCCTATATTTTGGGAGACCTTGGCTTAATTGCATTAAGTTAGTAACTTGAACGAATTTATAAAAATGAAAATAATACTACTATAGGATTATAATGCATCTAGGGGAATGCTGGGGGAACATTTACTAGAAAAGAGAGAGATTATTTGTAACAGGTCTTGGATTCGGTTTTAGTTGTACCTCTACCTTTCTCTCTTCAGCATCTGTTATCATTTCACACTGAGCCTGACTCATAGTCTTCACTCATGCATTTAAAGTCCTTCATTACATCTAACCAGATTGCTACTGAGAAAATTGCTAGTGAAGTTTTCTCGATTCATACCTTCGCCTAACAATACAGCAAATAAGAAAGGGTTCAATCCACAGTAAAAACCCTCTTGGGCGTCACAAGTTGTTCCAAATCTACAGATTTTTTCAACAAATAATGTTGAGAATTCTTCCTTGATGAGATCTTCAGCTAGACATGACACTTGTATGCTCTCCCCCTTAACTGCACTATTAGAAATCCTTTCATGGACTTACCATTTTTCTGAACTAAGACATTAATTTTGCCTTACTGCAGGTGCAGAAAGCGATAAAGCAGTCAAAAGGTGTGTTTCCAACCTACGATACCTTCATGCAGAGAAGGTAGCTTTGAAAGAAAGAGCTCCAAACATCATGTTACTGTAAGTCATATTACTGAATCACTATCACTATTTTGTTGCTAGTCATAAGCAACAAAAATTAAGTCTGACAGACCTCCACAGTGATACAACTATACTGCTCCTGAGTAAATACAGCGCTACCATGTAGTACCATTCCCTGTGGATATGTCAGCTCACATAACTCTTAACACAGTTCTGTGTTGAATGATGTTGGTGTGCTCCAAGTGACCTAGCTGAGATCAGTGTTCTCCAATATCATTCAAGTTGCTGACCTCTAAATATTACTTGTGAAGATGCAGAGTCCTTCATGCACAACCATGGACATGGTCTCTTAGGTACTTTCACAGAACTCAGAAATTCTTCATGAACCCACAATAGTCTGTGATCCACAAGCTGAAAACCAAGCCTGGGGCTCTCAAGTCTCAGAGAAAACTATTAACCAAAAGTCCACCCTTCCTCTTTGCTCCAGGGAGAGTCAGGGAGAAAAAGACTGAGTCTTATCTCAGTTGTGAAACAGAAAAAGGGCAAATGCTTAGGGACAAAACTTACTACATCCCACAAAAAATTAAAAAATCTTGAAAATCAATAAATATTAGGCAGCATATGTGCATTTCTAGAGAAAGAAACAGCAAGCAGGCAAAAGGGACATGCAGAACTCCCACATAAATCTGGGCTACCCTAGCAACATGCACAAACAGACAGGTGAAGGCAACCACTGCCAGATTGAAAGAGGATCCAGAATTCAGACACAGGCTTATGAAACCACAGCATTTGGCAACAAAACTTATAATTAATTCATGTTGACTATTCAGTTGACTTTCTGTTTAAGACCATACAAAATATAAAGCCATGTCTTCATAACTCTCCATGTTATATGTTAATACGCAAAAAATATCTGGCTGTGGCTGTGGCTGCATACCATACATTCATGTTTACTAAACGATGAAAAAAAAAAAAAAAGTCATTAAAACTCCAGAAGATTCCTCAGGTCACAACTTATTCTGCAAGATGATTATAAAATAAGTGAAACAAGTAGTATTAAACAGTAGTAATCTATTCCTCAGTGCTTCAGTCATTGTCCCAAACAGTTGGGAAAACAATTCATTTCTGCCTTTGGACAAATCTTGTAAAGCATGGAATTGTTTGAACAGAAATTGGGCAGAAAGGATTTGCAAGCTCCTGAATTTACCCATAATCTGAAAAGACCAGCCACATGTAAAAACCTAGGTGACCTTCTGGACCTAACAACAACCATTTCTATTCCAAAACTATAATATGTGTTCAATTTGGAATATACCTCATAATGGCCTTCTTTAACTGCATCTTGCAATGGTGTTATTTGTTCAATTCCTCTAGCATTAACATCAGCTCTTGCTTTCAAAAGCTCATTTGCTATACCATAAAAGCCTTCCACACTTGCTGTATGTAGTGCAGTCCAGCCTACAAAAAACCAAAAACCTGTATTTCACGTTTGGGTGAAATAATTTATAAAAATTCATGTCAGTTTTAGGTCATCTATTTGATAAATATTTCAAAGAGTATACTGAAAAAGTAAAAACTGATGCATTTTACAATAAGTTATATGAAGATATGTTTATGAAAACATCACAAGGGTTGGCAGATCTCATTCTTTTGTCAAAATTTGCGCTTACTGAAGAACCAGGTACTGCTGTAACAATATTACATTCTAGATTTGATAGTTCTGTTACAAAAGAAGAGAATAAAAATTATTCCACCCACATCTTAGTAATTTCTCCCCAAATAAAACGTATATGCTATTTTAAGAACATGATCATTTTTCATGGCACTCTTGTATTTACATAGCCATGCTGAAGAGGGTAAGCAAGAAAGAAGAAACAAAATAAAGACCTGGAGTCTTTATTGCCAAACAAAAACGTTTTTTAAGACTATCCAAGAGTGGTTTGAGTGTCTAAAGAAAGCAATGAAAAATCCTTACTGAAATTCCATATCCATTCCCAGCTATAGGGAATAAACCAAGATATGAGCTTCATGACCCACAGAACAATTCTACTTCATGAAGGAGGTGCTGAGGCAAAATAAAAGATGGAATCTAAGTCTTTCAACCGGATTTAGCATAGCCTTGCATCAGCTCCTTAAACATTCATTATGTGACAGCTTTTTGTAGGGTGAGAAAAGTAAGGCAAAAAGACAGAGGATCTTCCACCTCCTACCTTATAGCTCTCAAGCTAGCATCCCCCCAGAAGACCATTTTGATGGACAGCCTTACTCTTCAACTATCTCCCATTATCAGAAGATGGTCTGGACCTAATTCACAAACTCACTATGAGAATTAATATGTGAATTAGGTTTATTAAGATTGTTCTGCTCCCATTAAGCAAAATTATCTTAATTTCATTGCAAAGAGAAACTTTTAAGGCTCTCTTATACACCACTCAACCCAGAACACTGTATATTTGTACAGAATTGTGTTTATTATGGGCACAAGATGTTGCATCAGGTTGTCCAAAAATTTTGTGCTATTAGGCTTTGCTACCAAATGCTTGAAACTCAACTAAGTTTTAACTACATTGCCTAATGTTGATAGTGCTTCAAGATGAATGAGTTTTAACAGTATCATCTGTAAAACATTTTACTTGCATTTTATAAAGCCGATTTTATTGAGAAACTCTAGTAACTCCATATTCTGGAGTAAAAGCTTGAAATCTGGTAAGAGGAAGATAAAAAAGATTCACTTAGGGGAAAGTACCTATTTCTCCCTCAGTAAAAATATCCTCTATCTGATATACTAGTAAGCCCCTGAAAAATTGAACCTGCAACATGTTCAGATGACAATCATTAGAGTTTAGCAACATGACTCTCCAAGTGCACGCTCCAGATCAAGGAGAAACACAAGTTCCATTGCAACTGTTTTTCAGCTCCCTCAGGCACTGCGAATCAACTCTCAAACTGAGACCACAGACAGTATCTCTACTGTGCTGTCCATATCCTACATGCTGATGTTCAGGAAATAAAAAGGAGGAAAAAAAAACCCAGAAGAACCCAAGAACTCAGTAAGGTACTGAAGCAGAGTACTGTAGCACAGGAACAAGGGAAAATACTAGGCTAAGATATGAATTATCACTGATGGAGGGCTTTAAAGGAAGAGAAACAGCTCAGAGGCAGAATATAATAATCAGAACAACAATTCCCAAAGAGAGTGAGATGAAAGTGCATTTCAGAATGGCACAGGCCTGGCAACTACTTTGTTCTGATTACATCTCCCTCACTCAAAAAGAAAGAAGTAGGGCCAGGTTAGCCTTTCATCTCTTCAAGGAGTTCAACTAAAACACATTTTGTGCAATTGTGCTCTTTTCAGGCAAAAAAATAGCAGACAGACTCTGGGGGATGTAGAAACAGTGGCCTGGCAAAACGTGAAAAGGCAGAAAAAGGAAGCAGCTGTAAGGCCAACAACTGGAAGCAGTGCACTTTAGTACACTTGCCCACAGAGGCTGCAGCTGAACTCACACTATCAACACTTCTCTGTTGTCAGCAGGTGGCTTTGAGACCCACCAAAAAAATATTTTCTCATCTACCTCTAGCACAAGCAAACAGATATTACAGGTCACTCTGTTACCTCAAACGCCAGAGTGCTACGCTGTAAAAGTCTGAAATTTACTACTGACCCAATTTATCTTTCAATATATTCCAGAAGACAGAGAATTTCTGCCTTAATTTTGGTCTGTTATATGCCTGCATTGTGCAATAGCTGTTAACTGCAGAATACTTTTTTTTTTTGTTGCCACAGAACAGTTGTGAAATCCTAGCCACTTCATGGGATGGAAACACTCTAAGAATGAATCAAAGTTTTCTACCAAATGAGCCAGCTGTCTGTGAGACAGTTTTGTTTTCTGTTATGGAAGTTTATCAGAACCTAATGGATGAGACAGGGAACTGCAAAATAAAGAAAAACAGTCTTATATTTGAATCAATCAATTGATACTTTAGGGTGTGGCAATGTCTTTGTCACAGAGTATCACACACGAAGCTGGATAAGGCGAATTGCTTCAATCAAAAAGTTCACAGATGGCCACTATTTGTCATTCTATTGGTTTTTTTGGTGTCCAAGATGAAGTTAAAATATAAAATACCGATTACTCAGAACTTTACAAAATCAAAGCAGTGTTACAACTTCCTTTAAGATGCAAGGGGCAAAATCAGAGTCCCTGAAAAATTAAGCTGAAAAATCTAAATCTTGGCATGTCAAATTGGCCACTGAAATGGACCAAAAAAAAAAAATCTTTAAAAACCATGACATTAATTATTAAGGGACTGTTTTGTGATAAGCATGCACAGGATTGTTGAATTAAGGCTAAGTAAGTTTAATTGCATCACTTTTGTCATTTTTAAGTGTCTACTTTTTCTGCAAAATTTTCTTTTTTAATATACTTTTATACATAGGTCCATGTATTTTCCAATGAATAATTGCCAAGTTAAACCGAGAAAAATTTAATAATCTACTGACTAGTCACAAATGTACAATCTTGTCCACTACACAAACTCATCATATGCATTTCTATTAGTATAGGTACATACTTGTTTTGAAGATAGTATTTGAATATAATTGCAACTTACCAGCGTAATCCTGAACATTCACATTCCCACCAGCTTTTATTATGTTACGTACAAGGTCTACATCTTGATGAGCAACAGCTCTATGCAGTATGGTCTCACCATAAATATTCCTCCTATTGATTGTTGAAAGTGAAATGGGGCAAACTCGATTTACAGAATTCCTACCAAACGCTTCTTGTCCTGAAAATAACGTGAAAGGTCTGTTGAACAGAAAAATATCTTTCCTTTCTTATTTTGGTTTTATTTTGCATTGCAGTTAGTAAATAAGCTTTCTGGAGAAAAATTTCTCATTCAATCTAGTAGGAATTAGTATCTCAAAAACCACATTACCAAGTAATAATAAAAGATGCCATAGTGAGTTCCATAACAAAACTCCAACTGATATTCAACACATGGGAATGTGATTTTGTAAAAGTGTGTTAAGTTTAGACTTCTTCCTTTTTAATGACATTTTTGCAAAGTGCATTGTTTCTCACTGCATCATAAAACTGCTATTTTAGGCTACAATTCATTACGAGATGACCATTTCAATAGCTAGTCAGTTATTCAATAATTTCTCTTTTCTTAAAAGTCAAATTTATCAGCAGTTCTTTTGTACTTATTTATGTTTAAAAACCTCTACTTTGTGAGCAAGGAGTATTTACACTAGCATAGTGATTGAGATTAGCTCCCTGAGATTACTTTTCCCTGTTAGTTCACAACCAGCTCGGCCATTTCTGCAATGAACAAAAGGTGAAGAGTTGCTGGGAATATCAGGCCTAAATATAAAAAATAAGATGTAAAAGATACTATTTTTAATTTTTAGTTTACTATTTTAAAAAACAAATGCTATCTCCCATTATGCACTCATTACAGTTTTCAGCCTGGGTAAAATTATTTCCAATACATAGATGAGCTGTTCTGTACTTCACCAGCAGTGCCATCCCAGCATCCCTTCATACCGCGAGAACAGCGTCCTGGCTACTGCCCCTTCTGAAAAACAGGGAGGAAAGAAAGAAGGGAAGAAGGAAGCACAAGAGGACGGCCTGGAGGAAAGCACAATCTGTGGCCTAGGCCATTAAATGATCTACTAATGAAAAATCTTGGAACAGCACTCTATATACACTGCTCCTCTCCACAAGCTGTAGCAGATGTGGCTCCCTCAGCCTGAAACTCCATCTGGCTGTCAGAAATAGACATTTTAAGTACAACCTTAAAACACCTAGCTCTCGTAGAACCGTTACTCCCAAAGCCTGATGTCTCTGCTGTTTTGTGCATGGTGATATACTGTGAGCTTAGACTAATTCCCAACCCTTTTGAGTTTTTGACTCTGGGTAGATTTTTAGAATCTAATAGATACAGGTTGACCCAGGACCTTCGCTCAGCTGAGTACATGGACAGTCCCTCTCCTCTACCTGTACAGCCTTGCAAGACCTTTATCATTTAAGATACTGCAGTCAGTAGTCAAACTGGTCTAAACTAGGCAAGCAGTTCAGGAGGGATTAAACCACACGTAATAAGGCACAGTTTTATGTTATACTTCACCCAATTTACCTTGTTACTTCAAGAGGACCTATTTCCCATCACTTCTACCTTGCCTCCTCTAATGCCTTCCTTGTGTCTGACCTTGTGCAGAACAAGTGATGCTTGCTGATCCAAACCAAAACTTGTTGCAGGGCTGTTTTTTTCAGTTAATTACCAAACTAAGACGACCCACAGACTCTTGATTGCTAGACCTGACGCAAAAGGGAGGTAAACTTGCTAGATTGGAATCACATGAAGCCATCTCTATAGGCAGTGCAACTCTTTCTGCAGAAATCATGCTCAAAAAACAATAGCTTGTTCTTCGAGTGGAAACTAGTAAGTCAATTTGAAATAGATGGGCAGTTAGTCATACAACTTTAAATCTCATAAAAACAGTGCTTCCACTGGGAATAATTAAAACTCTGCAAAAGAGAAGGTTTGTTAGTTGGAGGTAGAATTACTCATATTTTATAAAATCTGTAACGCAGCTGTTACAGTTCAAATACTTCCAAACTTTGTAAGCTGTTTAAATGACTGTAGCTGCACAGACAAATGCAGAGTGAGTGGGCTTAAACAAGCAAAAAAACCCCAAACTTTTAAGGCTCCAATCTTAAAGGTGCTGGAGTGAGCACTTAAGTGATGAAATTCTCTATTCTCCTACACACTTCCTCTGCGAGGCAAAGAATTTCTCTGCATGCATCTTCAAAGGATGAAAAATAGCATTCTTTCTCTCTGATGAAGCACAATGCAGGGAAAAATACTTCAAAAGAGTGTTCTGTGACTGTGGAAGTGAAAGTCCTATAATCTTATATTTAAAACAGACAGGATAGTAACTGCAGGCATTCAAAATAGAATAAACTGTTCTTCTTGGGGATGGCACTGGCCTCAGAATGATGCTGCACACAGAATACTAGGTTTTAGAAGAATATATAAATGTGTATCAGGATCTACATTTTCACTCTGCATGAAAATGTTTTTCTTCTGCTTTTCAGAACACACCATAATATTTTCGTATATAACACTGTCATAAAAATTGCATCCTGAAAAAATTCTCCTGATTCTTAAGGAGTTTATGCAAACAAGTCAACTGTTAGGTCGTTAGTATGTAGGTTTAAACAAGTGAGGGAAATTATCAATAATAGTAATTATTAAAATGAATATTTGTACCATCTTTTTAAAAGAAATCCATGCCACAGTATGTTGGAAAGGTTATGAATTATATTTGATTCAGTATAGTTGTTGAAATAAAAAAACAATCTGTATGATAAACATCAGAGAACATCTTACTCAGTTTGTTTTCAATTCTCTTGCTCCTTCTTCTCTGCTTAGCTTCTCTATCCTCATTCAGAGTTATTTCTTGGTGTATGTTGGTTTCTAGATCCTGCTTGTCTTTAGAAGTAGATGTCTGCATTTTACTGACAAGAGATCTGCTTAGAATCAACAAATCTCTTCTTTATATAAATCAATGTTTATAGTAGAGCTAAGAATGTGAATGTATTTGATTTCAAAAGGAAGTTAGTAATAGCATGCTAGTATATAGGCTAACTTAGGTGTACTGAATAAAGAGTAAATCAGGAAAGAAACTTAAAATAAAAGGTAAAACCTTTACCTTTTTATAATTTAAAGTCATTCACATAAGGAATGAGTACTCAGTATGCATTGTACTTGTTATCTTAATTTGAAAAAAGAATTTAAGAATATTATGCATGATTTTGTCATACCTCAAATCCTTAGCTTTGCTTCTTGTTGTACTGCCACTGTGAGACATCCTCTGCGGAGTTTCTTCCAGTATTTGGTGATGACTGGAAACATGATCTCTGCACTTTCTTGAGAAGGTCTCTCTTAACTGTATCACTTTCCTTGATGTTGTTTGGGCTGTTTCTGCACATGCCACAGCCTCCACTGAATGTGAACTTCCCTCCTCACTTTTCTTTTCACTAGAAGTGGCACCCCAGTAATCAGAAATAACTTCTTTCTCTCTCTGCTGATCACCCACAGGCTGTGACAAAAAAGAAATGCTACCAGTAACTGGTAAGCACGCAGTTAAAACAAGGACTGTAAGAGCCCCAAGAACATTGTCTTATAAATTACATGTATGCCCACAGACAATGGAGGAGTTGCTTAAGTGAATAACTGGAATTCTACAGATATGGCAGACAGAGGCTGCGATAGGAGAGGCACTCCTAAAGTAGTATGCCACACCATGTTCCTCTGGCAGAATGCACCAACGGAATCAGCATACTCAGAATCACAACTTAAATAATAAATCTCGGCTGGCTGACAGAGAATAAAAGTTGTTACTATCTGAAAGTTGTTTGGTTGGACATATGAAAAGACTTAACAGATTAATTTAAATTTCCTATGGACATGAGCTCCTGTCGTAAGAAATAAAGTTATGTTTAAGATGTCTTAAGCTAGCCCATCTTACGTCACTCATGCACAAGAGTAGAAATGTGCACAAGATCACGAACCATGTTTCACCTGAGGTTCAGCAACTGCCAGCTGAAAAGTTATTTCTAAAGACATACCATCCCTGAGCTACAGCCACCACAGATGAGATTCACTTCACCTTCCCTCAGCCTTCTAAAAGCCAGACATCTACATGACACTAGGCATCCTCGTTACCCCTACCACTGGTGAAGAGAAGAGCTACTTTCACAGATGATAGTGATTCACTTCATCCTAAGTTGTGCAAAGGGGAACCCACAAGACTGGTGTAACCAGAAGCTTATCTCTAACAGTAAGGGAGAGATATGCCACCCTAAAGATATATCATCACTTGGCAGTTAATTTGAGCTACTGGAGTTTATTCACTGTTTTACTCAAGTGAGCGTGACGTACTGCTCAGTATCACTCAAGTCGCTGAAACCTGGGTACTCATTAGCTTATTGCACACTTGAGTAATGCTGAAAGCTCTTAGGACACACCCTCAGCACACACGCATACAAATTCTTTCAGTCATATGGGAGAGCTTGGTAGTCCTTTCCTGGGACACAGATGGAAATGGACAATTCGCTGATTCATTTATTTTAATTGACCCATTCAGCAGAGAGGCTACTGAAGAGGTGAACTGCGCTCCTAGATATGGTCCCTCCAAGCCAAAAGATGATGCACGTTAACATGGCAGTTGTGGAAAACCAAATATTTGTTTACAAAACTATCAATGCAGTACTTTCCATGGCATCACATCTGCTATGCCAGGAGGGTTAGAGAAGAAGAAGAAAACATTTCAAAGAGAAAAAAAAAGCCACTTGCTTTATAAGGGGCCATATATTAAAATAAATGGGTTATCGAGCATCCTGATTGCATCTATGGGACAGTACAGGCTCTCCTCTTTTGGATACTTGTTTCACCACAAGAAGGATACTCTGAAGAAACAAGGATGAGAAAAGACCAAGATGAACAATATACTGTTAGAATGCAACGGTTACTAAAAAATTAACTCAGATTTTTTTCCTCATTGTATAACCTCCGTACTTTCTGCCTTCAACAACAGCAGATGGAGGTACAAAAAAAAGCTAAATTCAATTATTAATTGACAAGAGGTTACAGATCCCCTTTTCCACAGGATCCTGCCTCACAATCTTAACTGCAATATTGAGTAAATCTATACATTAAGCTTCACACAGCTGTGCTACAAATTTCAGAAATCAACACTTCACTGAAAGAGCTTTGTAAGATGCCATGGTTCTGAGACAATCAGCCTGGAGACCTTTCAGCACCATGATATTAGCTACCTTTGTGGCATATTTTATTACATACTGTTATATTCAGTTAATACTACTAGCAAAACACAGAATTAACTCATAGTCTTTGGATGCTTTATGCCATTGTGGGGAAGCAAAGTGGCTGTAAACCCACCTTAAGTAGCTAGTTATACGGGGCTGATCATTGATTTGCAGCTCCAGATTACTCAAAGACAACACAGAACAGAGAATCAGATTCCAGGTTTACAAGGGATGTCTACTATACCCTATAGCATAAACATATCTCTCCTACGTGTCTTTCTCTTTCCTTTGTTATAATCTAACCAGGAAGAGGCTATAGCGTCGCCTTCCCTTCATGTTCCTCTCCAGATTTTTGCATTCGTGTTACTGAATCCAAATGACCTCTTCCAGATCACCTTTATGGTACAGGACATAACATTGTGGAGACAGCGGCCCAGGGTAAGAGAAGAAAACAGGAAGAAGGATCACGTGTTGTATTTGTACATACTGCCTTCTTCAGGAGAGGACATGAATACAAAACCATGCCTCCGTTTTTTCAGTAAGTCTTGCATAGGCAGAACTAAACAAAATAAATGTACTTCTAAATACACATGTAAAAAAATCCACATAAGTAATCCTTCTGGTCTACAGGAAAGACACAGCTATAGTTTCTTTTGTAGTACTTGCAAAGCATTTGTATGCTACAGTGGTGAGAACTATGATAGCAGAAAACAGCACACTATAGTCTGTAGAAAAAATAGAACAAGATGGTTTAGGAACCTAGAGTTGGAATTGGCTGCTATATGCCAGTGTGCTACAATGAAATAACAGACTAGTTAGTGTTTTGGAACTTTTCTTGGAAAGAATGTGAGACACAGATGTGCAGGGGGACCAGGAGTTCTTGAAACTCCCAGGCTGATTCTAGATTTCCACATCAGTCACTGAATTAACTTTACTAGGATTTCCCATGCCAGCAGCATCAGCCATTTTCATAACATGGATGTATCAAAACAGAAAAACACTACTGTGTTTTAAAACAAAAACAACTGAAATGCCTTAAACATGTAAATTACTTACGCCAATTTACTCTTTACTAAGATTCCCATGTCCAAGTAATTTGGCTATTCTATAAAGTATTTTATGATAAACATAGATTTTCAAATATGAAACTGTATACATACTTGCTCATTTGTTGTCCTCTGCAAGTTAGATCCTATCAAGGTTTTTATTTCTTCCACCTGAATTGTAGCAAGTTGAGGCTCAATCATGTTTGTTATTTGTGTACAGTCATCATCTAACTGGGGAATACTGGGTTCTGAATTTAACTGCTCTCCGTCAGTGTTAAGCTGTCTCTCATTTGGTGTTACAGGAGTGATAGGTTGTACTACAGACCCTGACAAGGCATTCAGAGCTGTCACAAGCTCTACTGGCAGGGCATCACTGCTCTCATCTGCTGATGAGTCAATGGAAAAGGCATGACCCTGACACTGTAACTTTTCAGGCAATGGGTTTATAATTGTAAAACTCTCAGAATCACTGAGGGATCCCAACAAATCACTAATTTCAATTTCACCAGTCTCTATGCTCTGCTCAGTGAATGCTTCCATGAAAATCTTCCCTGGGGACATCAGTGAAAGATCTGTATCATTATCAGGAGAATGTTCTTTTACTCTGTTATCTGTGCCAATAATGGTCATGCAGGTTCTTTGGCAATCTTCTAAAACATGTGGAAATATCTCTTTTGGTGTCTGTTCCTTTGGAACCATTACTGCATCTTCCAGAACAGCATCTAAACAGTGGCTTATTTCTGGAAAGAGATCTTCATTACTTAATTTCGGTGAAATCTAAACATTTAAAAAAAAAATAAAATTGTTTACAAAAAGGAATGGAACAACTCTTTCTAAAAGGCATGTCATTAACATTCACTTTAGAAGTCATCCATATATATACATATGTTTTATTTGCCATTTTTGCATAAAATACAAGACTCAAAGGCTTCCCTAAGAACTCATACAATTTCTTAAAAAGGGTTAGACTGAAGTCTCAGTTTCAAAAGCTGAGCACTTCACCTGTTGACTTCCCCAGGAGGGGAAATCCAGAGTAAGACAGACTGAATCTCTTCTAAAGTCAAAGATATTATGTCATTGCCAATGATCTGAGGGTGTTAAAGGGCTTTAAAGAGAGGCATAAAAAACTTCTGTGACCAAGAAATAATGAAATTGAACATATTCACAATAATACAAAAAGCATAGTTAGTAAAACACAATATATGAGTTTTGATTATGTGTTTATGTGCATTCCACACAGGTACGGAGCATTTGTGCCTCAAACTTCAGTTCACTTAGGAGTATGCTTGGAGGCTGCATGTCTGAGTTTCCACATTGAGTACAGAGCCACAAACTGTAATTGTTCTTGGAAAAGTAATACTGCTACTGTTTTCCTAATAATTTTGAGCTGCTTTCAACAGATGCATCCATTTTTATACCAATTAATAGCTTTTTTATTTTTTTTCCTATCCCTGTTTCAAATGCTTCTGCAGGAGAAAAACAGATGCCTCAGCAGACCTAAAACATTTTTTTTCTATATAACATTTGTATATAACAGTGCTGTTGCTTAGTAATACTGCATCTTAAGAACATCTCTTTCAATACATTTTTAGACTCTTATTGCCAGCAAGTGGCAATACTGGGGAGTGCATGAATCCTTTAACCACTGGTAACATAATTTTGATAAAGCCTACACACAATAGAACAGGAAGGGCAGGAAATGTAATAGCATTGACTCACCTTCAGTTTGTAAGCCATTATAAATTCTCGATTCTTTGCTGAAAACTTATTCCTCAGTCTGCTGTTTCCTATCTTGTAGCTGTGCGGCTAATTGTTCCTTTTCAACTACTACTTACTTTGCTGTATGGAGTTACAGGGTTTTTTTAAAGCAGACTTTAAACAGTTGGGGGAAAAAAACCACCACTTGCATAACTTTCTGTACTTGAAGAACTGTGGTATAAACAGCGTGTATGTGTATTACACATTTCCTAAGAAAAAGGCTCGGGGCATTTGCTGAAGGGCAGGTGAAATTTACATTTATATTAATGGAGAAGGATCAGGCAGGCATAAATGACTAATTTTGCAAATTTCTAAAAACCCAAATGCTAACTGAAATCCAACACTTAAACACGACTGGTGTTCACAAAATCCCCATCCAACTACAGGTGCCTAAATTTCTTTAGCACTCATTTCTGTTGGCAAAATCCTGTGGGACTTGCTCTACAAGTAATTATAATCTGCAGAACATGATAAAAGTCAAAACTTTCCCTCCCTAAAACCCATCGTCAGCTGCCACTTATCCATAAAGACACTTAAAGCCCCAGTGCCTAAGGTACCCGTACCTTCAGTCGTCTGTTGAAAAGGAACAGAAGAGCTGCTGACAGAGCAAGGCTGAGCCAGCTGGGAACTGAACCAAAATAGGGAGTTTTCTCTCCTGTGGACCCCAGACTAGTAAATATGGTTTGAATATATCTAAGTTTCACTCAAAGGAGGAGCAGGATTTCCTCTCAGTCAGTAGCTCAGTAGTAAAATACCAACACTGTGGTAAATGCAGGTTCAGGTCCATCCTCCACCAGAGGAGTTATGCTTCAAGCAACTAATTTAAAAAAAGGGGTCCTATGTAAGAATGCCGAAGAGAAAAATGTATCTCTTTGGCATATGGCTGTTAATTCTGTTTAGTGTTGGAATGCCAACCATCTCATGGCATCTGTGAATCTCTTCCACCAAGCAGGAGTATACAACTTCAAAAGCCTTGATTTAAATCCCACTATCATCATGTCTCAATTCTTCCCAGTACAAATTCAAATCAAGGTGCTCCTTAATCCAAGCACATATTCTGCTGACCTTCTAGCATCAGCCAAGAATCTCTTGTCTCCCTATCTTACCTAGCAAGCACACACCGGGTAACAGCTAAGCATGGCCACAGTAAACTCCAGCCTCAGCTGATTCAGCACCTTGCACCAGAGGAAGCAGGTGGACAGGGAAATCAAGCAGAGGTCTCAGCTAATAAACTCAACTTACTTGACCGTAGTTATAAAAACTGTGTGTTCATAAACTCACTGCACCATAGACCAGTGAGCAAGCCAGACAGCCAAGCCTTAGATGTCTACCTCTCCCTGTGCACTACATAAGCAAGCTTAAACTTGGCCTGTCAGTTCCAGCAGATGGCAGTGCATTCACATCACCTTGGTGAATCTTGACATGCAAGGATTTTTTCCATGTGTTCGAGAATAAATTAAAAGTTATCAAGAAATTGGTGGCTCTTTGGTGTCACAGACTGTGGTTTGCAAACGTTACAAGATAAAACGGGACTGACTGATACTGAAGCATAAGTAATAAGGGTGGAGTGGACTCCTATATCTAATAGCTTCGAGTCAAACAACAGCAAAGTTCAGCCTTTCAATATATACGTATAAGAGAATCTCTTTTATAGAGTTAAGGCTTCAGAATTTTACCAGCCTTTGTGAGAATGCTGAACTGAAGATTACTGCAATATACTAGAATGTGAGGGATGCACAGAAAATCACAAAACAGTTGAGGCTGGAAGGGACCTCTTGAAATCATCTAGTCCAATCTTGCTACTCAAGCAGTGTCAGCTGCAGCAGGTCACCCAGGACCATATGAAGTCAGGTTGTGAGTATCTCTACAAGTGGAGAATGCACAACACCGCTGGGCAACCTGTTCGAGTGTCTGACCACCCTTAGAGTTAAAAAGTGGTTTTCTGTGTTCAGATGGGCTTGCTTTCTTTTTAATTTGTGTCCATTGCCTCTTGTCCTATCAGTGGGCACTACCGAGAAGTCTGGCTCCTTCTTCTTCATTCCCTCCTGTCAGGTGTTCATACACATTGGTAAGATCTCCCTGAGACTTCTCTTGTCAAGGCTGAACAGTCCTAGCTCTCTTGGCCTGTCTTTATGTGAAAGATCATAGAATCACAGAATTGTTTGGGTTGGAAGGGACCATTAAAGGTCATCTGGCCCAACTCCCCTGCAATAAGCAGGGACATCTCCAACTACATAAGGTTGCTCAGAGCCCCATCCAACCTGACCTGGAAGGTTTCCAGGAATGGGGCATCTGCCACCTCTCTGGGCAACCTGCTCCAGTGTTTCACCAACCTCATTGTAAAAAATTTCTTCCTCATATCTAGTTGGAATCTACCTTCTTTTAGTTTAAAATCATTACCCTTGTCCTATTGCAACAGGCTCTACTAAAAAGTCTGTCCCATCTTTCTTCTAAGTCTCTAAGTATTGAAAGGCCACCAGAAGGTCTCCCCAGAGCCTTCTCTTCTCCAGGCAGAACAACCCCAACTCTCTCAGCCTGTCTTCACAGGAGAAATGCTCCACCCCTCTGACCACCTTCATCTGGACCTGCTCCAACAGGTCCATGTCCTTCTTGCCTTGGGGGCCCCAGAGCTGAAGGCAGTACTGCAGGGGGGGGTCTCACCAGAGCAGAGCAGACAGGCAGAATCACCTCCCTTGACCTGCTGGTCACACTTCTTTTGATGCAGCCTAGGACGTGGTTGGCTTTCTGGACTGTGAGTGCACATTGCCGGGTCATGTCCAGCTTTTCATCCACTAGTAGCCCAAGTCCTCTGCAGGGCTGCTCTCAATCCCTTCATCCCTCAGTCTATACTGATATCAAGGGTTGCCCCGACCAATGTGCAGGACCTTGCACTTGGCCTTGTTGAACTTCATGAGGTTCACATGGGCCCACCTCTCGAGTTTGTCCAGATCCCTCTGAATGGCATCCCATCCTCTGGTGTGTCAACTGCACCACTCAGCCTAGTGTTGTCTGCAAACTTTCTGAGGGTGCACTCAATCCCACTGTCTATGTCATTGATGAAGATATTAAACAGTACTGGTCCCAGTACAGACCGCTGAGGGACACCACTCATCACTGATCTCCATCTGGACACTGAGCCATTGACCACTACTCTCTGGATGCGACCATTCAACCAATTCCTCATCCACTGATGCATCCATCAAGTCCATATCTCTCCAATTGTGGGAGACGGTGTCAAAGGCCTTACAGAACCAGACGCACCAGATCTTTAATCATCTTTGTGGCCCGGTGTTGGACTCACTCCAGTGTGCCCATATTATTCTTGTACTAAGGACCCAGAACTGGACATAGTATTCCACAGGTGGCTTTACCAGTTCTGAGTAGAAGATCACCTCCCTCAACTTGCTGGCAAGACTCTTCCTAATGCAGCCCACGATATTGTTTGCCTTCTTTGCCACAAGGGTGTGTCGCTGGCTTGTGGCCAGCTTATTGTCCACCAGAACTGCCAGGTCCTTCTCTGCAGAGCTACTTTCCAGCCAGTTGGTCCCCAGCATGTACTGGTGCCTCAGGTCATTCCTCCCCAGATGCAGGATTTCACATTTCCCTTTGTTGAACTTCATGAGATTCTTCTCTGCTCGGTTCTCCAACCTGCCCAGGTCCCTCAGAATGGCAACTATCTGGTGTATCAGTCAGTCCTCCCAGTATCATCTCTGAACTTCCTGAGGGTGCATTCTGTTCCATTTTCCAGGCCATTAATGAAGATGTTGAACAGTATTGGCCTCACCATAGTCAGACTAACCTCAACAGAAATCAGAGCTGTCATGTCATGAAAATCAAGAAAACCCAGTAAAACTAATTTCATGGTGTCAGGAATTCTATGCAGAGATTACGTCAATTAATTAATTTCTCTTGTATTTTCAGGAATATTGACACAAAATTAACATGCCCAGTGACTCACTGCTGGTTGTCAAGGTGTCTGTCCTGCCTTTTCTTCAAATCAGTACACAGAAGCCTGTGATGGCCATTGGTTCCTCTCACAAGAGGTCTTCCTGCAGCACTCAGATCTTGCCAGTGCCAACATCAGCCAATATGTAAAAAGTATAATCCATTGCAGCAATTATTTCCAACCTTCTTACTCCAGGCTCCTAAAATATCCTCTTGGAGATACTCTCAATGCACTCAACCTGCCTATTCTCCAGAGGCTATTAATCATAGGTAATCTTTGCTTCAAAGCATTTCGATTTTGTTCTAACGAATTTTGTACAATAAGAATGTTTCATTTAATCAGCTTGGTATTATAGTTGTATAGTGGTAGTTGTACATTTTTCAAAAAGGAATAGTCCAAGGGATATAATTTCTTTCCCTTGTTCTGAGACAAGGGATACTTGACCATATAATCAATCATATTTGCTACAAGGCATGAACAATTTGCCATACTGGTCTCAAATTTGTCTTTGGCGAATTTTAGCAAGTACTTTTTTTCACCAACATTAACCTTAATCAGGCTCCCTGAAAAAAGGAAAGTAAAATTGATTTATATAGAGTTCTAAATTTTTTTTTATAGGTACAAATCTATGGGACTAGATGGAACAGTCATAATGCTACGGTCTCTTCATTAAGCAGGTTATTTCAGCAGATAATTACACTGCACATTGCTGTAAATTGCTCCACACTGGAACATCAGAGAAAAAAGAGTGGAATGTTCTAGAAGAAATTCTGGAAGGTCAGAGAAGAAATACTGGAAATGGTATCCTCCATCAGCTAATGGGAGGTTTCCTAAGAAGCTGCAGGTGGCAGCAAGCATTACATGTACCCACTAAGATCTCGTTTGTCTAGAACCCATGCAGTTGATGTCACTAGTGCTGCAGAAATCCTCAAAACCGTCCATGCCATTGCAATAGGAACTGTTAATAGCAGTTACTTTTTGCTACAGAAACAGTAACAGAGCAAATTTCAATGACAGTTTCTTTGTCCAGCAT